AAAGCCTTTCAAAATGATAGAGAAATGCTAACTCACACACTTGACTTGTTGGAACACTTGGTGGAGTTGAGCACATTTGAAAATGCCTTAAAAATAAAGTTTGGTGGGTTGTTTCTGTGTTCCTTGAAATTTCCAAACTTGTCTCGGAATGTCTGAGAGGGTCAGAATATCCAAAGAAATTTCCGACCAGCCTTCTATGTTTGGTTTGCGATTTTCGACTTGGATATTCCGAACGTGCTTGGATATTCCGAACTTGGACGAACGCGCCTGGATATTCCAAACCTAGACAAATGCGCCTGAATATTTTGAATTTGAACGAACGTGCTTGGATATTCCGAGGTGAGACGAACGCGCTTGATATTCTGAGGCGGGTGCTCCCCAATGGTCGGGAGACTAGAGTTTTGACCGTTGGCTGAGGGACGCTCCAATATCCAAGCCAATATCCAAGCCGCGCTTTGTAACACCCTCGGTGTTACGCCCTAAACAAACTACTAAACCATGTCATGAGCATCATGTTTATGTGATAATACATGTGATAGAATGTGTAGATAAATTTCTTGTAACCTAAAATGACCAATAAAAATATTAAATAAAAAATTGATTCACTAGCTCATGTTATGTCAAGTAGGGTTAAAAACCATTTTTATTGAGCAAAAATATTATAGAACATGTGTACAACACCTAAATAAAGTTTGAAGTACAAACTTTGTAGACAGCAATGAAATCCTTGCTGCTAAAAAATAACTTCGCTAGCTAATGCTTCTAATGGTCTAGAAATGGAACTTGAAATTGAATTCAGCTCAAGACTTAGAAGATTATTTAAGTTTATTGACAGCAAGACAATGCCATGCTTGGGGATTTATTTTGTGAAATTGAGTTAAGAGGTGATGTCGTGTTTTAGCTTGGATTGGTAGCCTAATAGACCCTCTTTAGAATAGTGAAGGCGGTTTAGTGTCAACCTCAACAGTTTAGTTGCTATCGACGCTTTCAAATTCATGCACGACACGGTCTCTGGCTGGTTGGCCGCGTGGGCGCGGTCACCACGCTCGGGCGCACGGCGTCGCCACACTAGCTGCCCCGCGTGCACACGCGCTGCCACGTGTGGCCAGCCGAGGCTGCTTCTAGCCTGGCCGTGGCTTGGCTGTGGCCTGGCGCTGTAGGCCGCTGTGTTGCTGCTTCCCTTGCCACCGCACCGCTATCATCGTCGCTACCGCCCTTGGCCGCTGCCATGTGGTGCTGCTGTCGCCGTGACGCCATGCTGCGCTGTTGCTCGCCTTGTCACCACGCGCACATGGGTTGTCCCAGCTGCCTTGCGCCGTTGCCTCGCCTTAATGGTGTTGCGGCCACGCATGCCGCGCCCCCACCTGCCTCCGTGCACACGTATGTGGTCTAGCCGCATTATCATGTAGCGAGTGCGTAGACGCTGCCTCGGGTCTGGCCGATCGCTTACCGCCAAGGTGAGGACGGCCAGAGCTCAGACCCCTCCCCTCCCCTTGCCACCTCTACCGTCAGAGCCACGCCCTCGCAATCTGCCAGGGATAGTTCACCTCAATCCGATTCAACGCGTCCACGGCCTCGTCATTAAGTCCTCTAGCTGCCCAACCCCACCCAACCTTGAAGCGGGCACGGCCAAGCTTCAATTTTGGAGCTTTTCCCCGCCACCGTGCCGATAAGGCTGAGTCCACCCATCACCGAGGGCTGCTCCCATCTAACCACCTTGAGCCAAATTAGTTGCACCGCTAGACTTGCCTCAAACCCATCCTCGCCATGTGCACCTGAGCCATACCCCTACTGCTGTCCCGACACTGCTGACATGGTCGTGTCCGCCACGGCTCGTCGTCGAGCTCGCCGCACGTATGTGTGAAAGCTCTAGTTTGGTTTTGGTGAATTGATGAAACCTTAAGTGCTAACCTAGTTTATCAAAGTGATTATGAGATAGGTAGCACATTCCAAGTGATGAGACAAATGAAGATCATATCATGATGATGGTGATGCCATGGTGATGATCAAGTGCTTGGACTTGAAAATAAGAAAGAGAAAAACAAAAGGCTCAAGGCAAAGGTATAAGTGGTAGGAGCCATTTTGTTTTGGTGATCAAGACACTTAACGAGTGCGATCACATTTAGGTTCGATAGCTGTACTATTAAGAGGGGTGAAACTCATATCGGAATACGGTTATCAAAGTGCCACTAGATGCTCTAACTCATTGCATATGCATTTAGGATCTAGTGGAGTGCTAACACCCTTGAAAATGCTTTTATGAAAATATGCTAACACACATGCACAAAGGTGATACACATTGTGTTTAGCACTTGGGAGCAAGGGTAAGAAACTTCATCGGCAGAGTGTCCGCCCGTAGAGTGCGGATAGTCCGATGGTGCCATCGGTGCCCTAGACAGAAAAGATAGGGCTTCATAGAGTGCACCGGACGCTGGCATCTACTGGACTGGCGCGTTCGGTCAGTGGAAGCGTGAAGACGCTGGCGTCGGTCTTCGAACGGACACTGGGTCACTTAGTGACCAGACGCTGGAGGGGTGCGTCCGGTCCTGTTGATGTGGCGGCGTACAGAGGAGACGTTGAGTGACAGGACACTGGGTGAGTCCAGTCGAGCATGACCGGACACATTCGGTCGTGAATTTTCATGAATGGAACCTTACTGGAAACGACCGTACGCTGGGGTCCTGCGTCTGGTCACTTCGGAGCAGCGTGTCTGGTCACAACTTAAATGTACTGATACCGTTGAGATCGGGCGATCAGCGTTTGAAGCAGGGGCCACGTGGCATGCATCGCGTGACCGGACACTGGGGTCCAGCGTCCGGTCGCCCCGTTTTTAGTGGATTGTGGAGCCAACAGCTCTATTTCATGGGGGGCTTCTATTTAAGCCCCATGGCCGGTTCAAGCTTACTCTCTTGGCCATTTGCATTGACATAGCAACCTTGTGAGCTTAGCCAAAGCCCTCCCACTCATCTCCATCATTGATCCATTATCATTGTGAGATTGGGAGAGAATCCAAGTGCATTGCTTGAGTGATTGCATCTAGAGGCACTTGGTATTCGTGTTTTGCTACGGGATTTGCTTGTTGCTCTTGGTGGTTGCCACCACCTAGATGGCTTGGAGCAGCGGAGGAGGATTGACATGAGTTGGTGATTGTTCGTGGCCATCTCCGGTGATTGTGAGGGGATTTGTACCTTCCCCGACGGAGTGCTAAAAGGTAGCTCTAGTGGATTGCTTGTGTCATTGAGTTACCTCACTTGTGGGTAGGTTCTTGTGGTGTCTAATTGTGTGGACGAGGTTTGTGCTACACCTCTTAGCCGCCGAACCACCAAGTGTTGGTCGACACAACAGGGACGTAGCGTGTTGGCAAGCATGTGAACCTTGGGAGAAAATTGGTTGTCTCTTGCCCCTTGGTATTCTCCTGGTGATTGATTAAGTATTCATTTTTTGATTGGTTCACTCCTCTACACGGCGGTATAATCACCTCACTTACTCATTTACTTTCCCACAAACTAGTTGTAGTAAGCTCTTTAGTGTAACTAGAATTGAGAGCTTGCTTTATAGCTTAAGTTCATCTAGTGGAGCTCTTTAGTGTAGCAAGTGTGAGAGCTCTTAGTGAGTAGTGACATAGCAAATTGTGTGTCTAGTGATTATAGCAACTAGAATTGTTGGATAGGTAGCTTGCAACCCTTGTAGAGCTAGAGCAAGTTTGCATTTCGCTATTTGTTATACTAATCAAATTGCTCTAGTCGGTTTATAGATTTTAAATAGGCTATTCACCCCCTCTAGCCATATTAGGACCTTTCAACATGGCCAGCCTTGCTCGGGGCATCTCTGGCCGAACCATCGCCTCGGCTAGGTCCTTGGTGAGTCACTGATGCTCACCCGCTACCTCTACTGCTTCCTTAGCGCCGTGGCTCACCGGAACGTTGTTGTCGCCACCGCAGGTTGCCCGCCGACGCGGAGAAGTCGCCCTACTTCATTTCCGGTCTTCTAATCGCTGCCCAACGTTGCGCGTCGGTCCATAGGTGAGCATAGACCCCGTAGCTAGGTCTATGTGGGTCCCAATTGGCCGGCGTAGCGGCTCCGTACCAGCCAACACCACGCCAACGAGCACGAGGGCTTCAGGGACCTCCCCGATGCGAAGATGAGTCTTTTCGGGGGCCTTCGCGCATAATCGCTGACTAAAGAAACACTACTAGGGATGTGTACATCAATGATGCTCTTCTTTCGTCACTGAAGACTCCAAAATTATCACATATATTATTTTATGACGAATTTGTGACGATATGGTATTCGTCATTGAATGCGCGTCATATTTTACCTATCGTGACGAAACGTCAATTTTCGTCATAGATGTGCATTTGTTCTATGACGAAATGGCCGTCGTCATAGAAGTGTATTCTTTCTATGACGATCTATTTTCATCATTGATATAGCCCCTTTTTCGTCATGACTTGCTGTCTGTTAGGCGGCCAGACGACGTCTGCCACGCTGGCAGCTGACGTGTCTTGTCCACGTGGCGCGTCCACATTGCAGGTGACGTGTCCGACCACATGGTAGCTGACATGGCCAGTGATGTGGATGGTCAACGTGTCCACTTTTTATTGGGCCACAAGGCTTGTGTGATAGGTTCTCATTTTCGTCACTGAAGTAAATACAAATTCGTCATAGAATCGATTACCAAATCATCACAGAAAGGTCAAATAATTCATCACAAGTGCACATACTGATTTCATTACAGAATGCAAATAATACTGGAATGACCAAAAGCTTCCATAAATTAACAGATCCAATATTCCAATGACCAACAACTTAATCAACAATTCTAAACTCGGTTCACATAACTCACTAGACATCACATTTGAACTACTAGTTTCATCTCAGTTCACATTAACATCACAGGAAATAATAAAAAGTTGCCAACCACCAGCAACATAAGTTACTACATAAACAAAATCACCAGCAGACCCCTTGCTTAATGAACCAGCAGCTACGAGCAGTGCTCATGTCGAAGAAGCATTGTTGATGGCCAAGATATGCTTGAGCAGCGCATTGTTCTCCTCCACTGCCTTGTTGTTTATCTCTGTCAGCTTCTTGTACTCCTCCATCTCCTTTTGTGTCATCGCCAGCTTTTCCTCAGCTTCTTCACTTCTCTTCCTGAGTTCATCGATTTCACCTTGTACAACAGCCGTAGCTTGAGCTGCTAGTTGCTCCTGAAGCTCGCTTTCATTTGATGATGATGATTTGGAGGATGGCACTGGTTTGATGTCAACACTCTTCAGGAAAAGGTTTGAGCTGTTCTGGGAGAGCACCTGGGACACAACCTGCACACTGGACACTGCTGTCTCACCTAGGCAGGACAGGAACAAGCTATGTAGCTCGATTACCTGAGTTGAGGCTCAAGATGCGCTGAAGGATCAGATCATTAGCTTTTTGTTTCTTCTTGAACTCCTCCATCGCTTGCTAGGTCCTGAGCACAACTGGCCATTGATTCTTCTGTGTAAGACATAAAAAAATAAGATATTATAAAAAAGTACTTGTGCTGAATGCTTTTTTGAACCAAAAAAGGCAAAGCATCTAAATAAATTCCTTTCGGTCCAAAGCCCAAGATGTTACAGATGGTGCCTGAGTATCCCTATGTGTATTTAGTTAATATAAAAACAGAACATATGGATCTGATATAAATTCAACATGTTAAACAAGCTGAGCTATCATTACAAGAAGAAAGCATTTTCCAAACAATATCCAAAACTATAGTCCAAATTGCTTGAATGTTCAGATTTACATTTCGAATAACTAAGTCAAGTTTAAATATCTATTTACAAGGTTAAATCATGTTATCTTGATGGAGAACTACAAAATAAACCTAGCTCTTGAATCATATTAGATCCAGGATCTTATATTAGTGCCAGTAACTTTACAAGATTCAAATTTTTGTATCGGATGCACAACCAAGCATAAGGAACTTGTACCGAACTTCAACAAGAGGTATGGATAAAATGATAATATTTACTTTATCTAACTAAATCGATAAGAGTACAGTAGTCCAAAAAACTGTAAATAATTAATTTGGTACCACAACAGCATTGTCCAGTTCTTATAGCTATAACTAAATACTTCTCTAACATGTAAAACCCAACATAAACGAGGGTAGCATCTTTCATCTTGTATGGATGATGGTAATGGGGAGCTTTGAAAAATAGACACGCAACTTCCCCTGATAATTAACCTGAGAAGAATTATAGTGGTACTGAGTATTGACTCCCAAGAGAGAAAATTTACAGCAAGAAAGAAAGCAAGTCCTTGTCCACGACAATTACAGCAAGAACGAAACCAAGTAGCCGTACACAGCCATTATACTATTGAAATTTGTACAGCCAATGAGCTCATAATCTTGCCTAATTCCTAACGAGGTTTTGACTTAGACAAAGTCTCCAATTGTTGCAGCCACTGCAAGATCAAATAGGAAAGCAAGCCTCTTTTGTCCGCTTACTTGAAATAAGTAAGCAATATATCTGATGTTCCTAATTGATTGTCTAAATCTGTATCTACAAAAACAAGTCTTCAGTATTATTTGATTGCACCGTGTGTTCATCTTGGATCTCACGCATCACGAAATCTCACATCTCCATCAAGTTATTCTGATGTTGGAGAACAGCCTAGTCCTCAGAAATCGGCATCCGAAATCACACCCAAACTAGTACTAGTGAATTGATAGATACCATGCTTGCAGTACAATTTACACCACGCGTCTCAGATACGAAATAGCTTCGATCCAAATAAAAGGCCGATCGGGGAATCAACGAGCAAGCGGGCAGGGATTTGCTTACTTGAAGCGGACGTCGGCGAGGCTACGCAGGAGGCAGAGGATTTGCCTGAACTCGCCGCGTGGTGCGCTAAGGAAGACGCAGAAGATCCCGGTGGTGAAGAGCGCGAGCATGGCCGCGAACGTGAACGCCTCGGATCTCGTCAAAGCCGGGCGCGCCCCTGCGAGCTCCGGCTTGCCCTTATTAGCGGCAGGAGAGTCGTCGCTGCCGAGGCCTGCGGCCTCCTCTGTGCTGCCACCAGATCGAGGCTGGGAGCCTCCCTCGCACCGCCCTTGGCCGGATCGACACCGGAGAGCCTCCCCGTGCCTCCCATGGCCTCCTCTGCCACCGCGAGAGGATGATGTGCGGTATCTGAGTCTTCACGAGAGGAGGAGGCACTACGGGCTGCTGGCTGCATGGATCCAGGTGCAGGCGTGCGGAGGTAGGCTGCGTGGAGGAGAAGAACAAATGGGTAGAGTTAGGGACTTAGGGTTTCAACCAGGCAGTGGAAGGAGTGAGGCGAGAGGGGAATTTTTGGCTAGGGGTCGGTGAAGGGTGCAGGCAGCCGAGTTTTATTGTGAGGGCGCACATTGTAGGCCGTCCGATCATGTATCGTACGGTTGACATCGTGGGCTGAGTAGATTGCTTTTGTTGGGCTGCATAGAAACAGACCGTAAAATTTGAAATGTTTATTGTGAGGGCGCACATTGTTGGGCTGAGTAGATTGCTTTTGACATCAAACTTGGATGTGACAATGTTTTACACATTTTAAAATTTGAAATTTGAAATTTGACAAGTTCAAACTAAATTTTAAAACCCTAAATGATTTCAGATGTAAAAGTGATGAATACAAAAGTTGTTCAACTCATCAATATCTACAACTTTTATATTGGTCATCTTGTCATTTCACAAAATTTGAACCTTTCAAATTTGAAATTTTGAAAAACGACAAGTTCGAACCAAAATTTGAGACCCAAATTGATTTCAACATAAAAAGTGATGAATACCAAAGTTGTTCAACTCATTAATATCTATAACTTTTATTTTAGTCATCTTGTCATTTCACAAAATTTGAACCTTTCAAATTAGAAATTTTGAAAAACGACAAGTTCAAACCAAAATTTGAGACCCAAATTGATTTCAACATAAAAAGCGATGAATACCAAAGTTGTTCAACTCATGAATATCTACAACTTTTATTTTGGTTATTTCTTCATTTGATAAATTCTTAGCACACATTGTTCACTAATCTTACACTTGTCTTATATAGTTTATAAAACCTTACGAGAGATGTGTCACATTTGTGAACAATGTCATTATCATTTTATCATATGAAAAAATGACAAATACAAAAGTTATAAATCTTGATGAGTTATTCAACTTTGGTATTTATCACTTTTTCAGCTGAAATCATTTGGGGTACCAAAATCTTGTCTGAAGTTGTATTTTTTTAAATTCAAAATTTAAATTGCTCAAACTTTTCATATGTATATATTGACAAAACCAACAAAATAAATTGATAGAGAATGATTTTAGAAAATTTTAGAAAAAAAATCATCAGATTTGGAGTTAGTATGAGGAAGAAAAACTAATTACAAAGTTGATCCACAGATTAAAAAAAGAAATCACACTGTTTACTATGATCATGTAAGGATCATCTAGAACAATGTGATTTCTCTTTTTAATCTGTGGATAAACTTTACAACTAGTTGATCTTCCTCATACTAACTCCAAATATGATGATTTTTTTCTAAAATTTCTAAAATCATGCTTCAGCATTTAAGTTTGGTCAAACTTGGATGTGACAATGTTTTACACATTTTAAAATTTGAAATTTAAAATTTGACAAGTTCAAACCAAATTTTAAAACCCTAAATGATTTCAGATGTAAAAGTGATGAATACAAAAGTTATTCAACTCATCAATATCTACAACTTTTATTTTGGTCATCTTGTCATTTCACAAAATTTGAACCATTCAAATTTGAAATTTTGAAAAACGACAAGTTCAAACCAAAATTTGAGACCCAAATTGATTTCAACATAAAAAGTGATGAATACCAAAGTTGTTCAACTCATTAATATCTACAACTTTTATTTTAGTCATCTTGTCATTTCACAAAATTTGAACCTTTCAAATTTGAAATTTTGAAAAACGACAAGTTCGAACCAAAATTTGAGACCCAAATTGATTTCAACATAAAAAGCGATGAATACCAAAGTTGTTCAAGTCATGAATATCTACAACTTTTATTTTGATCATTTCTTCATTTGACAAATTATTAGCACACATTATTCGCTAATCTTACACATGTCTCATATAGTTTATAAAACCTTATGAGAGATGTGTCACATTTGTGAACAATGTCGTTACCACTTTGTCATATGAAGAAATGACCAATACAAAAGTTGTAGATATTGATGAGTTATTCAACTTTGGTATTTATCACTTTTCAGCTGAAATCATTTGGGGAACCAAAATCTTGTCTGAAGTTGCATTTTTTTTTAAATTGAAAATTTAAATTGCTCAAACTTTTCATATGTATATATTGACAAAACCAACAAAATAAATTGATAGAGAATGATTTTAGAAAATTTTAGGAAAAAAATCATCAATTATCATGTTATACGTTTATAAATAGAAAAACATGCATGCCTTTATCACAAAACGGCGAGTGCTCCAGTGGTAACGCACCAACATGTCTAGCAGCAGGTCGCAGGTTCGAATCTCCCTGCGTGCGCTATTTTTTGGCAAAAAAAGGGAGGCGGAAGGATGCAGGTCCACCTGGACCGTGTGGGCCACGCTGCCCCACTTGTTCGCCGCCATGTCCTCAGGCTGAGACCCGCTGGTGGGACCGCATTACCACGTCTTCGAGGTTGGGACCCAATGGTGGGACCACATCGCCACGTCCTCGAGGTGGGACCTGCTGGTGGGACGACGACGCCACGTCCTCGAGGTGGTACACGAGCCAAACGATCTATGACGATTTAGTTTTGTTGTTTTATGATGATTCTTTTGTTTTCGTCATTATTCTTCGTGCCAAAGCTCCGTCACTTGTTACTTATGACGAAGCTGGAAATTTCGTCATAGAAAACGCTTGTTCTGTGATGAAATTTGTAAGCGTCACGACTGAATCGTCATTGATGAACACATTTATAGTAGTGAAATAGGACGCATAGTGGTCGCGTTAATAGTAGAAAGCGCGGGGGCTTTTCTGCTAAAACGCCAGCGCGCGTGTGGACTCCCCGCCGTGGGCCGCTTCCGCGCGTGGGTGGCGCCCACGTGGGCCACCCTAGGTCAGTTCGATTTCTCTTTTTGGTAAAGAATTAGAAATAGCTTTATATTTTTAATCGAGAGCCAGTTTTGTTTAATTAATATAAAATCTTTGTAGATGCCCAAAAATTGTGAAACAAATTTTGTTAAGTTCCTAAAATTGTGATATATCTGTTGGTGTAATTAATGTATACATATACATATTGATACTAGGGGCTATTAAATCATTTGAGAGTGCTTAATATTATTAGGTTAAATATTGTTGGAATTTTTGTGGTAAATTGGTGATAGCTTTAGTCCTGAAAATTTATGGTAGCTTCATTGTATTATTATGTGCTCACTATAATTTTTGTAGCCTTAGAATAGACTAAGCATTAG